AGGATGGTCTCGATCTCTTGACCTCGTGATCCACCCGCCTCGGCCTCCCAAAGTGCTGGGATTACAGGCTTGAGCCACCGCGCCCGGCCTGAGACCCCATCTCTTAAAAGACAGAAAAGGTAAAAATCTGTCTACTTTACTTGTTGTCTTAAAAAATATGAACCCCAGGAAAAGGGTTTAATGTGAAACCCAAATACAAATTAAATTCTTAAATCCCATTGAACCAAACACTCTCTGTTACTCCTTTCTTTCCTTTGGAACAAAAATGTGGCATGTGCTTTTTCTTTCTTTCTTTTTTCAATCTGGGAAAGTTATTAAGCCCTAGACATTATCAGAGAGGCTCTGCTGGGTGGAGACCTACTTTTCTTCCCTTCAGTGGGTCTTTTCCTACTAAATTTCCATCTCTGGAACCACAGGAAAAAACTATCTGCCCCTTTTGCACTCTATCTTTTTTCCTTGTTAAATGTTCAAGTAAATATAAAAATCACACAAATCTAAATTTGAAAAAAAAAAAAAAGAGAGAGAGAAGAAAGTGCTGAGAACACTAGAGCTGGAGAGTTATGTAGCCATTTTTACCCTGAGTCTCTTGATTCCAGCCCGTGTGATTTGCTGGCAGTCATACAGTTCTATCCGCTCAAGGCTGTGACAGCTCTTCAAGTGCTCCAGGGATGCATCTGTGATTAGTGGGCAGTTGTCCAGCTCAATCACCTCCAGCTGGTCATGGGCACAGGCCCCATTCCCCAGGTGACGAATTCCATCATCTGTGATCAGCTCACAGTGAGACAGACTCTGCAGCCAAACAGAGCAAGGAAGAATGTTGAAACATCTTCTGGCATTCTTCTACCAGAGGCTTGTGTAAAATTGGAAAGGAGACGTTTTGGTTTGATTTTGATGAATACGGAGCCAGCACTACATCCACATGGTGAAATTAGGAAAACTGGAGATAGTGGGGTTATGCTTTTGGCAATCAGTGATTGATATTTTGGTGTGTGACTCTAAATACATTTAATAAATGCATGTAATGACTATGAACTAGTTCATAAACAAAGTAAGACAGCCTTAAAAATTATCCCTTCGTCAAATTAACACTTTTCGTCTCTACAGGGACAAATGGGAATCAAGTTTTCCATTCATACTATTTTCTGGAATTTGAACTAAATAACTGAATATCTGGTTCAGGGACATGCCCCAACAATTAATTAGCTGAAGATTTTTACAGTTGTCAGGTGTGATCATCTCATCACATCATCTCTTCATCAATATTTATTAAATCCCTGGTTCAGTGAAACTCAGAAATCTTGACCGAATTCTCGATAGCACTGTGCCACCAAACACCAAAAATGAGTCTGGATACAGAACAGTCACCCAGAATGCCTTCCTCATGCCCACCCTTCCTGAAAATAGGAACAGAACTCCCCTTAGTTAAAGCTTTGATTTGTTCCATTCTTAAGACCAGTAACATCTGAACTCAAGGTGAAGCAAATTGTATTTTGGGCCATCTCATCCCCTGGATATCTAGAAGTTTAAACATCATTCAGGCTGGAGTATGTTATCTGCAAGACAGAACTCATAGGTTTCATGGCAGTTTTCAGTCTTCAAGTATTGATATAGAAAACATTTAACTTTTTCAGTTCTTATCTTAGTTTCCTACTTCACTCAGGTACTCCTTTGGTCCTCTGTAAGATGGCAATTTGGGGAAGCATCCTTTCCTAAAATGGCAGCCAGACACTAAGAGATGGGTTTTTGAACTACAGTATTGGCTTTTGATTAAACCCAATAAACACAGACAACTTTCAAAGTCAAACTCACCAATACTTGAAGTCGAGGACAGTGTATAGAAAGTTGGATTAATGTGCTATCTGTTATCTGAAAGAAATATATATGCTGATTTTAGGTATAATCCAAATAAAATCAAAAGCCACAGCTGATTCTTTTTTCTTTTAGAAAGGGTCTTGCGCCAGACACAGTGGCTCACGCCTGTAATACCAGCACTTTGAGACGCTGAAGTGGGCAGATCACAGTCAGGAATTCAAAACGAGCCTGACCAACATGGTGAAACCCCGTCTTTAAATACAAAAATTAGCCAGGCGGGCTGGCGCATGCCTGTAATCTCAGCTACTCAGGAGGCTGAGTTAGGAGAATTGTTTGAATCTGGGAGGCGAAGGTTGCAGTGAGCCGAGATTGCACCACTGCACTCCAGCCTAGGCTACAGAGCGAGACTCTATCTCAAACAAAATAAAAATAAAGGGTCATGCTGTTGCCCAGGCTAGAGTACAGTGGCACAACTATAGCTCACTGCAGCCCAAGATTCCTGGGCTCAAGTAATCTTCCCACCTCATCCCCCTGAATAGCTGGGACAATAAAGCACAAGCCACCATGACTGACTAATTTTTTTAATTAGTATTTTTTTTTTTTGGTAGAGACAGGGTTTCACTATGTTGCCAAGGCTGCTCTCGAATTCCTGAGCTCAAGCAATCCTACCACCTCAACCTCCCAAAGCTCTAGGATTACAGACCAACATGGGTGATCACAACTCACTGCAGCCTCAACTTCTCAGGCTCAAGCTATCTTCCTGCCTCAGCCTCCTGAGTGGTTGTGACTACAGACGTGTACCACCATGCCCGAGACTTTTAAAACTTTTCGGGTAGAAACAGGGTCTTGTTATGTTCCCCAGACTGGTCTTCAACTTTTCGGCTCAAGCAATCCTCTTGCCTCACCTCACAACGTGTTAGGATCACAGGTGTGAGCCACTACACCCAGCAACCCTATACCTCATTCTATTTATTTATTTTTTTTTTTTTTGAGAC